GGGAGAGAAATAGAAACATCAATGAGAGAGAATCATTGATTGGATGCCTTCTGCATGCCCCCTACTGGGGATTGAGCCCTCAACCCTGGCAAGTGACCACACCGAAGGTCAAACAGTGACCTTCTGGCTCATAAGTCGATGCTCAAGCACTGAGCCACACCGAATGGGCACCAACTCTTCTTTTTGCTATACCATTTGAAATACTTCATTTTCTAAGCCTTAGCTCTTTTACTTAATTTTTTTACACATTGAAAATTTTCATTTGTCTGAGATTCGTGCTCTGTTTCTTTGTAATATGTATTGCTCTTTAACTTTTTATTGAAGTAAAACTCAAAACATATAAGTAAATAATAAATGTTGCCAATTTTAGTAAGTGAACAAATTCATGTAACTTCATTATAGAAAAGAAATAGAAGGTGGAAAATGACTAGCCCTCCACAGAGACCCTCTTGGAACCCAATCTACCTTTCTCCCTCTGCCTGAGGCAACACTGTTGGAACACAATAGAATACTTTCCCCTGTTTTTAAATTTTACCTAAGTGGAATCATCCAATATATATTCATTTTTGTTTGGCTTTTTCCACTCAAGATTTTATGAGAATCATCCATGTTTTGTGTGTAGCAGTTTATTTTCATTGCTTCATGAAATTACATGAATATACAACACTATATATTGTTTTTGGATATTTGAACCATTTCCTATTTGATATTACTATGAGTACTGCTGCTATGAGCATTCTTTTCTGTCATTTGGTGAATATATGTATACTTTTTTTTATTGGATATATTATATGAATCTACTGTTTAACCTGAGTTTTTTCCCATTATTAGAGTCTGAGACAAAGGCTTATTGTGTCAACAATTTATTTGTAAAGTGATCCCAAGAAATGAGAGAGGGACAGGGGGTAAAGGAGAAATGAAGACAAAGCCTATATAAGCGTAAGTCAGAGAACTGGTATGAGTGCCCAATCCCACAGGTCTTCAGAGGAACCATAAGAAATGTACCTTGGAATTGACCCCGTGGGGAATGGGGGAGGAAAGCAAAGCATTTACCCATTGGCCTCCAATCCCACTTGCTGAGTGGTTCATGGGTATAACTCCAGTATATCTGAGTAGTTCATGCACAAATGCCAAATGTGATCTCGTAGGCACCCAATGCCATAGTGCCTGGGCCCAGAAGAAAGAGGCTAAGCATTGTTAAGTGGGAAGTTGGTCTAAGTCAAGATGAAACTGGAGTAAATGGTGAGTTGAGTAGATTTGAGGTGATATACAAGAGATGTCTAATACGTTCACATGTATACGGATTCTTCATTTTAACAAATGTTCATCTCTTCTGTTCATCTATTTGTCTATCCTTGTATCAACACCCTAGTTTTAACTGTTATAACTTTATGATAGTTCTTGACATCACAGAGAGTGAGTCCTCTCATTTTATTTTTACTCAATATTGTCTTGACTCTTTATGTTTCTACAAATTTTTGAGTCAGCTTATACAATTCCATAAGAAATAAAACCTTGCTCGAAATGCTTAGATGCAATGACAAATTTGAGAATTGTCATCTTTACAATATTGAATTTTCCAAACTATAAACCTGATATAGCTTTCTGGGTTTTTTGTTTTGTCTTCTTTAATTCTTATTTTTTTTATTTTTTTGTCTTTCTTAATTCTTCTCATTACTATAATTTCTTGTGCAAAAATTCTGCATGCATTTTGACTTCTTCCTAGAGATTTCATGCTTGATGATACCAGATTTAAGTTTTCATTTTTTTTTTGTTTTCTGATATATAAATACACTTGATTTTTACACATTGACTGACCTTATATGCAGCAATTCTGTCAATTTTGTTAAGCTCACTTTTACTTTATCTGATTCCTTTGGGTTTTCTTTATATGCAATTGAGTCATCTCAAATATGACAGTTTTATTATTTTTCAGTTATTTTATTTCTTGTCTTACTGCACTTGCTAGGACCTCCAGTGGAATATTAAATAGGAGTGTTTGGAGTGGACAGCTTTGGCTTGTTCCTGATTTTGGAGAAAAAACATTTACTATTTCATCATTCAGTCCATTAGGTGTGGGTTTATGCTATTTATTATAATTCAGTATGATATTATTGAAGATTTGTGGCAAATAGATGTGATATTATATATGTGGCAATATATATATATTATATAAATGTATGTGTGTGTTAATTATCAGCTTTAAGTTCCCTTCTATTCCAAATTTTTTGAGTTATTTTGTTTTGAATAATAAACAGCTGGCAAATTTTGCCAAATGCTTTTTCCACATTTATTAACACAACCATATTTTTCTTTTCTTTATTAATATAAATAACATTGATTTTCAAATATCAATGTACATTCTGGGGTAAATTCCATTTGTTCATGTGTATTTACCTTTTGAAATACTGCTAAATTTAATTAGATAATATTTCGTTGAGGAATTTTTGTTCATAGGGGTTGCCTATGTTGTTTTTTTAAATTTTTTTGTCAGATTTTGGTAATGGTGTTACACTAGCCTCATTAAATCAGTTAGGATGTGTTTTTTTCTCTGTTTTCTGTAAAAGTTTATGAAAAGCATTTCTTCCTTAAATGTGACATAACTAATCAGTAAAACAACCTGGACTTGGAATTTTCTTTATAGGATTGTTATAACAAACTAATTTGTGATAGATATGACTATTAAATTAGCCATTTGATTTTGTATCATTTTGATAAGTTGTATTTTTTGAGAAATTTGCCATTTTATCCAAATATTTATTGCCATAATATTCCTTTAAATCTTTTTTATATATACAGTTCAGTAGTGATGGCCCCACTTGTATTACTGATATTGTTCATTTGTGCTAGCTCCTTTTTTGTTCTTAGTCACTTTTTAAAGAGGCTTATCAATTTATTATTTTTAAAAACAAAAATTGGATTTATTAATTTTATTTTGCTTTTCTATTTCATTGATTCTTTTTTTCTTCTTCCACTCACTTTGGACTTTCTACATCTTTTCACTAGCTTTCTAAAGAGAAAGGTTATTTTTAACCTTCTGTCCTCTCAAAAACAGGCAATCAAGGCTATAAATTTCCCCCTAAGTACTGCGTTAGGTGCAGACTACAGATTTTGGTTTGTTATCATTCAACTCAGTTTAATATATTCTCTCATTTGATTTATATTTAAAAGTTTATTAACTTTTAAATATTTAAGATTTTTCTTTTTTTTTTTTTAGAAATCAGAAACAATTTTATTTTATTTTTTACATTCATATTTTTGTTTGTTCAAATTTCTTTATTGACTAAGATTTTTCTTAATCTTATTGTTATGGAATATAATTTAATTTCATTGCCAGAAAACATACTGTATAAGATTGCAGTTTTTTGAGATTACTTACTGAAACTTGTTTTATGGTCTTGCATATAATCTATTTTGGTGGTAATTCCATGTGCACTAGAAAAGAGTAAGTCTCCTGCACTTTGGGGCTATACTCTTCTCTAAGTGTCATTTAAGTCAGTGTGGTTGATACCGAGTGGGTTTGTTTTTTTCTTAGTTTGGTTGTTATATCAACTACTTAAGAGAGGAGTGTTAAAATCTTTAGCTATGTTTATAAATCACCTTCCTTTCCTTAATTCCATCACTTTTTGATTCCTGAACTTTTAAGCTTTTTTTAAGTGTGAACATTTATAATTGTTATCTTTCTAATATATTAGTACATTAGAAATGTCCCTCTCTATCTCTGGAAATTATTGCCTTGAAGATTAGATAATATTAATATAGGTAATCCAGCTTTCTGACAGTTTGCATGGTATATAACTGTTTATCCTTTTGCTTTCAATTTGCAATTTTGTATTTAAAGTGTATCCCTTGTAGACTATATGTAACTGGATCATGTGGGTTTTTTTGTTTGTTTGTTTATCCCATTGGACAAACTCTGCCATTTAATTGGAATGCTGGGTATTTAAATTTAGCTATTGATGTAGTTGGATTTGATTTTCCATTTTGCTTCCCTGCCCACACACCCCCAACCCCCCTTTTGAGATTGTTCTGTAATTTTCTTTCTTTGGTGCTATTATCAGATTTATCAATGTTATACTCAACTCAAAAACTTATTTCTTTTTCTAGAACACCAGTTTTATTAGGCAACTATAATGATAAACCTAAAAAGCCCTGAAAAAGATTATTATCTTATGGGCCTGATATTTTTCTCAATATTTAATACAAAAATTGTGTTTTTCTTTCTCTACTGTAATAATTTGTTAAATATTTTCCTAAGAAATTATCCACTTCATCTGTATTTTCAAGTTATTTGTGCCAAATAGTGTCAAGTAAGCTGTTATGTTTGTAAGTGTTCTACTTATCTTGGTCTTTTCCAGATTGTTTTCTCTCCTTCCACTTCCCTAAACCTCCCCTTTTTTACTAGCTTTGCAGCAACTTGGCTGCCTCTTCCAGAATTCAGATTCTATTAAGAAACTCACTTTCACAGATTTCTTCATTTTTCTAAATCTTGGCCTCTTGATTCTTCACTCTTTTGGTAATTCCTCACTGCCATAGCACAATCTTTTATATTTTTCTAGAGTTCTAATCGCCAGCAAGAGGATTACTCAACCATTTCACTGGAAACCACACTCCTGCATGTCTTAATAAAAAAAAATAAAGCCTTCATAGATATATTGTGTAAAAAAATTCACTCTCCTCAGTGGACAATTCAAACACTATATAAATCAGTATGGGTCTGACCAATAGGAACTCTTTTATTAAAATGCGTATTTGTACTGTGGAGTTTTCTAGAACTATTTTTACATTAATTTCTATTGATACTTTCCACCAGCTCTGTCTAGGAAAGAGAAGTTAATCATGGTAGATAGGAAAAGAATGCTGATTGGGTCAATGGAAGTTCACATCTTTAACACAGGAGGGAGGTCTGAACTGGAAACATACAGTATGTCTATCTGTTAACCATCATTATAGAGCTGTCAGTGGATGAGCCAGTAAATTTAGCTTATTGATGATTGAGATCAGATTTTAGAGGTCAAGGAGGTAGAAGATATGTGGAAAGGGAAAGTTTGTTCTTTAGGTAAGATTCTGCCCTTTCCAGGTAATTTTGACCATGAGACATGAGTCGCAGGACCTAGCAGTTTCAACAGTAACTTCCTACACACACATTGTATGTTCGGTGTTTGCATATGTAACAGGACTCCCGGAACCAACAGGTTCATCTGGATTCTCACATATTCTCGGAAGCAAATTGTATGGGACCAAACTGATACCCAAGCACAGACACCAAGAAGGCTGGGGATGGGGGAAAAAGTGTGAATATGGTATCTAAAGTTCAGGAAGTACATGACCTGGAAAATGGTTCTGAATTCAAGAACTCCGCAAGAGTGAAACCATAAGTGGACCTAAGTAATTTATTTTTACCACTTTTGAAATGTTACTGAACTCCAAAGTAAAGGAAGTATATTTTATTCTTTTTACCACATTTCTTAGCCAGCAGTGTTTACAGAATATCCAAGTAGAAAATGAATCACTACTAGAGAAAACTTTATTGAATCTATACTCATTTAGACATTAACTACTTATGGCTATGTGCAAAATAAAGTTTAAATGCTATAATCCCCCTTAATACTAGTGTTTTCTAATCAGCTTTTTCAAACTTCCTCTGTTTCTACTGGAATCCAATAAATTATAATTCAAAAGCTCTGCAAAGTTTATATTATCTTTCTTTCCAATAATGCCCTTATGTGGAATTGTATATTTATATACTGTTTTAAATGTTATACACTTAATCTTGGGTTTAAAAAATCTGTAATGAATGCTTATGAGAATTTATACAATATTACTAAATCATCAAAATCTGTTACAGTATGTATACTGTGCATGGTGACAAAAAATATCAATGAGGTTGGATTCTATACTTAGTAATACAAAAAAATGTTTTGGTAAATTTTATTCAGATACATTTTAAAATCAGGGTCATTAACTATGAATTCAAACAATAAATCAAAATACATTTTACTTCAACTTAAGGCACTATATTACAATTTTTTTAAAGCACATTATGTCATTTTATTTACACACTATTTTAAGAATTGACAATAGACACTTTTCATCTCATCTTCATTTGTAGCTTTACATATTCACAATGAAGTAAAAACCTCCAAATAAAAGAAATTAAATGCATTCACCCTTAAAGCTTACCAGATACAGGCTAGAAAGACAGAAACCCAAGGTTAATGCAAAGGTATTTTTAATCCTTTAATGTTCCAAACATTTATCTTTAACTTCTTAGATCAAGCTTAATGGAACAATAACACAAAGCTTATCGTAGAGAGCATGGACTAGAGAACCTGCATGTTATTAACAACAGAACTGTCCCTGTTATAAGTTAATGTACTTATTCTGAATTTACTCACTGAATTAAAAAAAAACTAATAAAAATTATCCTATTACCTTTGAGTATTGTCATAAACAGTTAAGTGTCATAAACAGCCAAATACTTTCTATCACCCAGAAAACAGCAAGGTATATTTGTCAATTACATAACAAAATACATCAAAACCTTACTGTAAAAGCCTAGCTTTACTAAAAGATTTTTTCAGTGTATTGGAGAATCATTAGCTTTAACAGCAATATTTAATCATTTAATCATTAGCTTTAACAGCATATTGCTGTTATAAATACAAATGAATTAACACAGTTCAATATAATAATACATAAACACCTCTTTGATTAAATTCTATTCATGAACATATATATAAAATTTATAATTTCAATTAAAGTTAATATTTTGAGACTGAGAGACAAGACAAATAGGTAAATGTCTTTTGTACAGGGGGTAAGACATAGACAGCATCCCTTCTTATTCCATCTTATATAAAGTTTATTCCCAGTTTGGATGCCACGTAAGTTCACTGAAAATCATATTGCCTATCAAGCTAATGCAGTCACTAAGACTCACCATTCTAAGGAGCAAAGACTACTCAAATAGTATAAAATACTCTCCTATTTTTAAAATGTCCAGGGCTTCAAATGTGACTGTTCTATTCCTTGTTATTTTTTAATGGCAATTGAAGTAGAAAAGAAAATTTTGAATTATTTCATTCAAATCAACTATTACCTTTAAGATAACTTTTATGTGAGGAAAAACTTGTGTGAGAAATAAAATGTGTCAAAAAGCAAAATTAGCCCTACTGGCTTTATTGCATTTATGTATTACGTTGTTAATACAGTCAACTTATGATTATTATCAGTGTCACCTGTTTATGCAGGATGTGGAAATGCTTCTCTAGAACCCCAGATACAATAGGCACTAAATACCAAGATCAGGAAACCAGCAGAACCAGACAGGGTGACTTAAACACTTGATGATCAGCACCATTGCTCTTAACCATCACAGACAATCAACATTTAACTGGGCTGCATATTTACTGTAAATCATTTCTGTATCTGCAAACTGGGTGCCTACTTTATTTTGTATTGTCAAAACTTTAAAGATCACACTATTAATATCAATTGCTTGCCTCAACTTCCAATGAATGGTTCCTGAACCCAAGTTTTCCTCTAATAGATATAATCTAGTCTGCCACAACTCAGTTTCTTCATATTAATTTTGATTATTAGAAGGTTCTACCAATCACTCAAGTTAGGAAATATTAGGCATTGTTGAGAGCTTATTCTGTCATTTAACATAATAATGTAAAACAGCAACAGATACTAAATTCCACTTTAAATATAACTACTCTGTTGCCTAAAGAGTAAGGCATCGAAGTCCCAAAGGTTAACATAAAAATATCTTTTTCTCATTCTAACTCATCAAAACCAGATTTGTAAATAACTTTTTCTATAGCTCTTTGATATTTCTAATTATAATCAACCTGAGGTTAAAAATGGTAACAAAAACAAATGCATTTTAAAAATTATGATTTGAACTTGTTAGAAAGTAAACAAATATGAATGAAAATATAATCTTTCCTAAGAGCTGGGTTCTATGGGAATGTGGAAGCCTACCTATGGTCAAGTCCATCTTTGATCTCCTTCTATAAATTGCATAGTCTGCACACCCATACATGCTAACACACTTGCACACACACACAAATAACTTACACAAAGCCATTAAGCACAGAGAAATCCACTTGTCTCTATTTTCTTAATTTATTAGCAATAATCTTCAAAAGAAAACTTCTGAGATTTCAACAGCTTAAGGGTCTTAACAAAGAAACAATGGTGAAGACAGGGGCTTTGTACACATTGTCTTTGATAGTTTTTTATAATAACTTTTCTTAAAATAATCTTTATATGCTTGATCTTTTCTGCCTGGTTAACTGATTTCATTTAACGCAGATAATTTTCTAATTCAAGAGTTTACTTGGAATACAAACTCCATTAAAGGTCAATATAAAAATATAGGAAACTTTTCCTCCCTGATGCACAAATCCCACTAGTTACATAAAGATTCTGTTGTTTCATTTACAAATATAAAAATTTATTAGAAAAGTATGCCTACTAAATTTTGTCATATTTTCATCTAAATATGTGTCAAATTTCATTGCACAAAGAAAGGCATAGGCAGTATTTTTCTTAAAAAATGTTTCCAGTTAGAGAAATAGTGTTAACTAATAATATACCAGCAATTTTTACTATGTTCAGGATGTTTTTGTTTTTGGTATTAGCTAATGCACCAAAAGAAAACACAAAGAAAAGTAAAACACAATTTCAGCATGCTTCGTATAAATTCTTTGTCTTTCAAAATATGCTTTTTCATAGTTATAACACATTTGGGTGTATCCTTGGTTTTGTGACTAAACAAAGACACTTTTTATAAACTCCAGCACATATTATTAGCCAATTAAAGGATCATCATCATCTTCTTGTAACTGAAGTCGGGAAAATGGCTGCGGTGCAGACAGTCTATTCTGCATGATTATGAAGAGGCACGTTAGAATGGTTAAGATCAAGAGTACACCAAAAACAATTCCAATGGCTTCTGGGAGTCTAATGCACCACTGGTCAACTAACAAACACTGAATATGACCAAAGGTTCCATTATTGGGACGTGGTTTTAATCCCAGGATGTGGCACATCATTGGATAAATATCCACACTGTCAATCGTGCATTGTTTGTAGCCTTTGTGAAATGCAGGACCGTGGGCAGCCAGAAATGGATGCATACTAGATAAGGAATTATCATAACCATGGTCACCTACTGAAAAAGAACAAAAATAATGTTAGTAAATAATCAATTAGAAAATAACTTGCAGTGCATGTAATTATACTAGTCTTGCCAGTATAATTCCCAGACCATTAGAATTCTGATCTGTTGAACCAGACAGTGGCCAGAAATACCATTTTCTATTTTCTTCAACTCAGCCATGTTCCCTTTTTTCATACACACATCCCTTTTTCAATCAATCATGGTGGCTTTAAAAAAATTTCTCAATCTTATGTACTTATTTTTCAGTCCTAGCCCCACCTATTTTACCTGTTACTTTCTAGCACTATTTGCGAAAGCCCACTATAAACAGCACCAGTGAGAAAAAGTGGTCTGGCTGAAAGTCCTGAGTAACTGGGGAAGAGTGAGTTAAAACCATTGAATGGTGAAGAAGTGAATGTGCAGACTTACCTATTTCAATTGCTCCTGTGATAAGAAATAGGGATATATAATATTAGAGGCCCAGTGCTTGTATTCATGCACTGGTGGGGTTACGTGGCCTGGCCTGCAGGAATTAGGCAGAAACTGGCTCTCTGACATTGCAAGAGGGCACAGGCCAGGCTGAGGGACCCCCACTGGTACATGATCGGGGAGGGGAGGGATCACAGGAGGGCTCCAGATCATGTCTGGCCCATCTAGCCCAGTCCCAATCGTGGTCGGCCAGTTGAGGAGGGACTGTGGGAAGTTGGCCGGCTGGGGAAAAACCACAAGAGGGCTCCAGGGAATGTCCGGCCCATCTTGCCCAGTCCTGATCGGCTGGACCCCAGCAGCAAGCTAACCTACTGGTCAGAGTGTCTGTCCTCTAGTGGTCAGTACGCATCATAGTGACTGGTTGAATGGTCTAACAAAAGGTCGGACACTTAGCATATTAGGCTTTTATTATATAGAATACTACTCATTCATTGACAGTTAATGAACAACTCTACCTGAAGGGCCAGGTAACTACAAACGTCACAGATGAGATTCTTATACTAAATGTGAAGTCTACCCAGAGGATTCCAACTATAATGCCAGTGAAAGACTAACTCAAAGAAAAATGTGATGGTCTCTAACCAAAGTCATATACCAGATTCTCAAAATTTAGCTTTATTTTAACAAACATTGCCTTTTATTTTTATATATTTTTATTACATTTTTATTAATTTCAGAGAGGGAGGGAGAGAGAGATAGAAACATCAATGATGAGAATCATTGTTGGGCTGCCTCCAGCACGCCCCCTACTGGGGATTAAGCCCACAACCTGGGCATGTGCCCTTGACCAAAATAAAATCTGGGACCCTTTAGTTTGCTCTATCCATTGAGCAAAACCGGCTATGGCAACAAATATTGCCTTTTAATGTATATCACTTGCATTTAATAAGCTTCCACTTTCACATGATATGCAGGGTCAAAGTGATGAGTATACCAGTGTTTTATTATTCTTTAATTTTATGTTTAAAATATTTCAAAATAAAAATGCATATGACCGCCGAAACCGGTTTGGCTCAGCGGTAGAGCATCGGTCTGCGGACTGAAAGGTCCCGAGTTCAATTCTGGTCAAGGGCATGTACATTGGTTGCGGGCACATCCCCAGTAGGGGGTGTGCAAGAGGCAGTTGGTCAATGTCTCTCTCTCATCGACGTTTCTAGCTCTCTTTCACTCTCCCTTCCTCTCTGTAAAAAATCAATAAAATATATTTTTTTAAAAATAAATAAAAATGCATATGACCAATATAATAAAAAGTGGAATACAACACTATACATAAAAAGATATTATCCATTAATGTAAAAATATGCAAGTATGTGTAATAGGAAAAATATTAGAAAGGCAAAAAACTCCCACAATTAACATTTGTCTGTATGTACCTCAAAATTAAGGGATAATAGATTCTTTTTCTTCTCTTTTCTAAACATTTCTGTATTTTACAAGTTTTTAACAGTGGATATATGACAAATATCTAATAACCGAAGCATAATATGCTAATTAGACTGGACATCCTTCTGGACCACCTTATGGATGAAGGCTGGGCTGCAAGGGAATCCCAAGTCCCTGGTGCCTACCAGCAGCTGGAGGGAAGCCCGGGTCCTAGGTTCCTGCCTGGTGCCAGAGGGAAGCCAGTGCAAGCAGTCAGGGGAAGGAAGACCGACTCTTGCACAAATTTCATGCAACTGGCCTCTGGAAAATAGTATCTGGTTCCATTGACCCTGGTTTTATTCTTGTCTGATGTTTCTAAATTGCTTTAGATCAGGGACTGCAAACAACATCCCCTTGCCAAATTCAGCTCTCTACTTGCTTTTGTAAACAAAATTTCAGTGGAACGCCCCATGTCAATTTACAGATATTATCTATGGCTGCTTTCCCATTGGAAAGGCAGAGTTGAACAGTTCAGACCAGCTGGCCCACAAGGTCTAAAATATGTATTTACTATCTGGCCATTTTCAGAAAGTGTCCTGACCCCTGCTATTGACTACAAAATCATGTATTCTTTTTAAAATATTCAAATTGAATTTAGCATATGGATAAAGAAGCTTGTTTCCAGGAAGACCTATAATTCTCCCCTATACATCATCTGTGTTGTAAGAGGGATTTCAATACATCTATTTTGTTTACCCAGTGCATTTTTGTAAGTTTACTTTCTGGTTCTTGTCCAATGTTTTAAAATGTTGTAGCATTTATGTAAATGATTTCATCATTGGGAAAAGGTTACTTGGACAATTTTTTTAAAAAATATATTTTTATTATCAGAGAAGAAGGAAGAGATAGAACATCAATGATGAGAGAAAATAATTGGTTGGCTGCCTCCTGTGTATCCCCTACTGGGGATCGAGCCCGAAACCTGGGCATGTGCCCTTGACTGAAATCAAACCCAGGCCCCTTGAGTCCAAAAGCCAATACTCTATCCACTGAGCCAAACCAGCCAAGGCTGGAAATTTTTTTTAACATAAAAAAATGAGAAATTTGAACTAGCTAATCTCTTCCTATTTATAGTATTTTGTTTCTTTTCTTTTTTTTTCTTTGTTTCTTTATCTTTTACTTTCTACAAATGAGAACCTATCTTAAAAGTTACTGAGAATAACTGCAGTTTTTGGTAAGAAAGTAAAACTATTCATTTACCCTTAGGGTCACCCAACCTTCTAATGCAAGGGTGACATTGTGGTTATTGTGACATGCTATCAAATAAAAATCTGAAAATTAAATGAAGAACTCCCAATGATGTAGTTGAAATTGAACTAATTACACTGGGTCAACATCTCTAAGTGAAAGTATTCTGGTAAAAGAACAATGTCAATTTATGATTTATCCCTATGACATACGAGAAATACCCTAAATACTTACATTTTAGTGATGAATTATTTAGCACAATTGTCCAGCCTTCATCAGCAACCAAAATAATAGGCTGAATTCGATCATTATGTTGGTAATGAAACCTGGCAGGAATGTCTTCTTTGAGATAAACATTCATGTGAGAGCTACAGTTTTTTAGTTTGTTATAAACCTCTGTTTTATCTGAAGAAAAAGGAAATAGTAAAGAAAAAAGTCATGATTGATTGATAAGGAAAAAATACTTCTAACTAGAATAACTGGGAAAAAAAATACTGAACAATATAATCTATTTAATTCTCAAAAAAAAAAAAAGGAGAGAATAATCATGTGACAGTGTTGGGATACACACACACACACACACACACACACACACACACACACACACACTTTTTTCAAAGTATTCACATAGCTCTTTTTTCATATTGTTATTATTCCTGGTGGACTTTTTATACAAAGGGGACAATTTTCACATCTAGCTTCCTCAGTAAATATTAACTAATTACACATTACTACTCATCACTAATTCTATCAGTAAACAAAAGGTATATCTCACCCAAATATTCTAGATGTTTTCAAGGGTAAAAGTTTCCTTTTTCCATTTGTGTTAATTACAAAATACACCCAAAAGCAAAGAAATGATAATTCTCAACATAAATCTTAAGCTAATAGTTTTTTTTTAAATTTGTAAAATAGGGGAAAACATATAATTCCACTCTAGAGTCAGTGTAGGAATAGATGGTTCTTAACTGCAAAAATCCAGACCTTTATTCTCATAAAACCCTCAATCCATTGCCCCATTCAAATATCCATTGGCTAAAATTTACTTACTTATTTTGGGAAGTATTGCAGCAACTGGAGTCAAATCTATAAGAGTGTAGTCTGAACGATTGAGACAGAGATCCAAGTTTATCAGTCTTTCCTTAGAACACTGGGTCATCCCATGATCACTTGTAATGATCACATTAAGATTTTCCCACAATCCTAATATCTTGAGTTTGTGGACTAAGTCACCAATAAGGTCATCTATTTCTTTCAACACTCTGCTCATATTTACTTTATCTTCGGGTCCATATTTATGTCCACTTGCATCTGGTTCTTCCCAATAGAGCGCTGCAAAAGTAACTGGTGGATTCGAATTGCTCAGCCACATGGTAATATTATTTAGTCTCTCCTCAAATGATACAGAGGAGCTATAATTCATAAAATAGGAAGGCGTGGTATTGTGAATGGGTATGTCGGTGCCAGGCCACATAGCAGCAGCACTTGATCTGTTCTCTTGAAGCTCATTGGTTACCCAAATAGGTACTGCCTCATTCCACCAAAAAGGATCCCTGTCATTTAAGTCAGAAAAATATTTCTTGGTAATTACATCATACATGGAATTAGCTACAATGCCATGGCTTTCTTCATACAAGCCTGTCACAATACTATAGTGGTTTGGAAATGTCTTTGTGATGAAAACATTTTTAACGTGCTCCACTAAGATACCTTCTTTAATAAAATTCTGGAGATGAGGAAATTCATAGTTCTGTAGATAGTCCGCTCTGAAGCCATCAAAGGACACTAGTAATAACTTCGGTGGCAAACTGTAAGAAGAGTTACCTCTACAAGCAGTTATAAGTCCAGAAAATAAAAGTATTACTAATAACTTCATATTGAACGTGTTGAAGGAGAGCAATCAGGTTCCTAAAATAAAAAAAATAAAAAAAAATAAATAAACCAATGCATAAGCAGTAATACTATTTGACTTGGATTAGGTTTCAAAAGTTTAACCACCAGGAGAAGAGAGCCAATATTTAAACTTTTTATATACTAGATTTACCTCTGTCAACTTAAAAATTAAATAATGCCATTTACTGAAAAGCAACTGAATAAAGTTAATTGGAAAAACTAAAAAATTGCCTTTACTTGTCCAGTTTCCTTTTATTTTATTTATTTTAAATATATTTTATTGATTTTTTACAGAGGAAGAGAGAGGGATAGTTAGAAACATCGATGAGAATCATCAATCAGCTGCCTCTTGCACAACCCCTACTGGGGATGTGCCCACACCCAAGGAACATGCCCTTGACTGGAATTGAACCCGGGACCTTTCAGTCTGTAGGCCGACTCTCTAGCCACTGAGCCAAACCGGTTTTGGCTAGTTTCCTTATATATATGTCCTGCCCCAGCATGCACGCTCTGAAAGGGAAATGGGCCATTTTTATACTCTATATAATACTCGTGTTTGCCTACCTTGTTTGAAATTAGAAATTTAGAAATTATTCTAAAAGATTAATAACAACAGATGAAGAAACAAAAAGTATCCCTTTTCACAAAGCAGAAATACTGCCCAGCTTTCTGAGGCTCCAGAGAGGGAGATTACCATTCCATTTAATGACTAGTCCTACAGAAATAGGTGGTAGAAATTCCAACATATTGGCTCACCACCAGTTATTGTTGAAAAAAATACTGGCATACAATATAAGAGTAAGAAATAAATACTATTTGAGAGAAAGCCCCACCTCAATCTGAGCCTTTATAATATGCACATAAAGCTGACAGGCAGACAAGACTATAGGGACCTGCAGGCGACAGTAACTTCTAAAGAAATTCAACAGCTGTTGAAATGAATTTCATAACCACATCCCTCTTAGTCTTCCCTTTTACTGTCAAAGGCATATGCATTCAACCTAATACCTCAGGTTCAGAGCTCATTTTTAATAATCCACAAATGATAAAAAGAGCTTTCCCCTAATAAATCTCCCTGCCTCTAGACTTGATCTTCTTTGATCTTCTTTGAGGTTTTTAAACTTGAGGTCTAATGAAGTCAAAATAAAATAAAAATATCTGTGATTTAGGTAGAATGCTTCACTATAGATGGTCAGGCTACCCCTTCCATCATAATAAGAGAGAAGGTGCAAAGGAGTGAGCTAACAGGTTGGAGGACTAGAAGTGAAAGGAGCTGAATTCTCTGAATTATACAAAGTAGGGTCATTTATTGAGAGGGAGTAGGGTGGTTTGAGAAACACAGAGAAATGGCAGATGTGGAGGATAGGTGAGAGTACAAGGAAACAGCAGGTTTTTGTGGTCAATGTTGACAGCAGATACCATGAAGTTTTAGAGTGACACTGTTGATTGGCTTTCTCTAGCAATTTCCTGACTCAGGCATGAACAAAACATACAGCTGAACATACGCAGGCTTGAAACTAAAGTATGATGATGGAAGCTAAAGTTGATATCATCTAAAGAATGGCTGATATTTGAGCTGCAGCATCTAAATTGAAACTAATGTAGATGTAAACAGAGAGGTTTTTAAACTTGAGGTCTAATGAAGTCAAAGAACCTGTGTTTTAAAAGTAACTTTCAGTGAGAATTTTAAGGATGTGGGGTTGTGGTCAGAGTGAGGTGAATGAATTCATCTTGCCAGAATAAGACTTGTGGTATGGCCAGGGGAACATGCACCTAGAAGTCCAGGCATACACAGCAGCCAGTTAACTAACATGATGATTAAGTTCACAAGTCATTAATTGTGTTGTTCTTTTTCCCAACTAGAATGCAATTACTTGAGGTCAGAGACTTTTTTTCCCCCCCAAACATACTTCATACTAGATGGTCTGTGTATGTATGCCGGGGTTCTTGTTCCAGCCTTAAGGGTTCTGCAATCAGAGAAAGGCTGTGTGTAACTGAATAAGAATCCAGAGATGAAAGATAATTTTGAAAGGCACTGGGGGTCAAAGGAGCCTGGCTGAAGATACCAGATTCTCTTTGTTTCAGGACCCCTTGCTTTTTATTAACACATATTGTCCTATAGCAAGGTGGAGATATACACTTCAAAGGGTAGGGTTTCTGTACAGAAGCATTGTCAGATTGGGGAATAGCCAGTAGGAGGCAATAACATGTAGATTAAGATGCCCTGAGCTGTCTGGCAGCAAACAATCATCCTATTCAGGTTTGGGGGAAATGCCTGTAGCCATTCTAACAGGCGATAATATATAACTCAGCCCTTGTTGAGTCCCCAAGTTCCATCAATCTTTTGATGAAACTCTTACAATTATGACATTCTAGAATTGGCATCTGGCATATGTAGTTAATCAAATACTTACTAATTGAAGATGGGACCCTCCAAAAACCAGGGACTTAAGATTTTGAAGATCAAAGGCACAGAATCTTTGCGTCTGGAAAATCTCCAGCATTTTAACCTGAGAAGGATTGCCTCCTCAGTATGGTGCATGGGTCCTCTGCTGCTGCTGATCCATCCAAGAAACCAAAACCAGTACACAATAACAAAAACCACTTTTCCAAAGAAATGAGTAACAATTCTAAGTACAAGACACATAGTTTGCACAGATGTAGCTCCACTCCCACATCAGCAATCTCAGCTGTTAAGACTCTAGACAGCAGTGCTTCTCTTTTTATTTAGTATTTGGTGCCCCAGACCTAGTGTAATGCATCTCTTCCCTCAGTCAGTAATAACTGGGTCCAGACAACAATATCATGCAGCCTGCTGCCTAGATTCCAGAATCTCAGAACTTGTGTGGAGGGCACACAAGTCTCCATGAAAGCCTGGACTGAACAGATTCCTTATTTTCTCTCAGTATAGCTACTTCCCAATACCAAAATATGTTTCCACTAAAGTAGACTAAAACAGCAAATAAGTGGCCTAGTATTGTAAAGATACTCACAAATCTATTTTATTTTATTTTATTGACTTCAGAGAGGAAGAGAGAGAGAAATATTAATGACGAGAGACAATCATTGATCTGCTATCTCTTGCATGCCCCACACTGGGAATCAAGCCTGCATTCTGGGTATGTTCCCTCACTGGGAATCGAACTTTGACCTCCTGGTTCATAGGCTGACACTCAACCATTGAGCAACAATGGCCAGGCACAAATGTATTTTTTAAAGGTTGTTTATCTACTGCCCTAGCTTTTGCCCTGAGTAACCATTCTACTTTCCCAACCAATCCCACTGCACAAAGTATTCTGCTGCCAAGTCAAATTTGATCTAGTATGTCAAACTGGACACATTCTCTGCACCTCTAAATCTTCCCCCTTTCCTATGTTCCCTAATATCTTAAAAGAGCTTCACCATTCTCTTGGTCACATAGAAATTTTCTGAGTATACCATCAGTTGCCAGCCTAGTCAACTCTATTCTTATATTATCTATTACAGCAGCAATTTTCAACCTTTTTGATATCATGGGACACATAAATTAATTACTAAAGTCCTACAGCACACCAAAATATATATTATATTTTTGGACAATCTATTTTAAAAAATATATATTTTATTGATTTTGTACAGAGAGGAAGGGAGAGAGAGAGTTAGAAACATCAATGAGAGAGTCATCGATCAGCTGCCTCTTGCACACCCCCTACTGGGGATATGCCCTCAACCAAGATACATGCCCTTGACCGGAATTGCACCCAGGACCCTTCAGTCCCCAAGCCGATGCTCTATCCATTGAGCCAAATCGGTCTCGGCATGGCCAATCTAATTTTTTAAAAAAGATATAATTTTGATTCATTCACATCAGATGGTTATTGTTGTATTGGCTGTTGTCATTTTTTATTTGAAAATCTAAAGGAAAAAAGGTCCATGCCCCTGACTGAATAGTCAGGTACTGCATCTTTTAAAAATTCTTGTGGCACACTAGTTGAAAATCTCTACAGTATAGTAGACATATGAATCACTGAGTAGACCTTGTTAAAAGCTCAGCTGTCCAGCCCTGTGTGGCTCAGTTGATTTAAGTGTCACATAGGAGCAGGTATGGGAGGTAATCACATCAATGTTTTTCTCCCTCTTCCTTTCTCTCTCTAAAATCAATAAAAACATATCCTCGACGAGGATTTAAAAAAAATTCAACTGTTTACTCTCCATATCTAGAAAATTCTGATTCAGTTGGTCTACAGTAGAGACCAGGAGCCTTCATTTTTAACAGCTATTTATTCTTTTCCATCTCCATGCTGCCCTATTTCTTAAAGTCCTCAATATTTCCTGAGAAAAATACTCTCTTTAACTGACCTTCCTACCTCAATCACCTTCCACTCCCACTTAGTCACCTTCCCCTTTCTCACCCAACATCTGCCCCAACTTAATTTTTCTGGGCATAGCTCTGTTCATGACAATCCCCTAATTAAAAAAAAAAAATGTTCAAAGTATCCACTGCTATACAAAAAGTAACAACACCTCAGCCTGGCTTTTAAACCCCTCCATTATCCCCTAAAAATCACTAAAAAAAATATTTAAAGAAATAATTGTCAACCTTAATTTCCATTTACCATATTTCACTGTCACAATCTGTCTGAAATGTATTACAAAGACATGAAAAGACAATAATCATTTATCTAGGTGACCTGCAGGTGACTTATAACAGTTCTTCAGTAACAGTCTATGCTTCCAAAAACATCCTAAAGTTACTCCCTATATGTGTAGTTCTATACAAACTCTCTTACAGATCATTAACAAAAACATCATTCAATAAATATACAATATAACTAAGTCTGAACACTAAAATGTACATGCTGTTTATCAAGAGACAAGAATGTTATATTTTTAAATACTGAAAATAGGAGCATAAATAATCAGGACAATGAATCAACTTGTCACCTTGAAAGAACAAAGACAAGCTTGAATGAACATTGCAGACAACACCAAAACTTTTTGTAC